AAACTGCCTCAGGAAGAAATTATTTATGAAAGTATTGCCTATTAGATATTAAACTTTTCGCATAACCTGCTCAGGGATGAAATAGAGATTTTGAGATAGCTTCACAAGTTTTAGTATTAAGGTCTTGGCTGCATTTTGTAGCAACAGAAATAGTCATTTTTATTATTATTTTGAAATATAATAGTTTGAAATTTTAACTACCTACAACTAAATTTCTATTAGAAAATAGGATAGCATGTTCAAATGAGAGATTGAGAACTTTAAGAAGAGTTGGTTCACCAGTTAAATGCATTATATATTCTGTTAAGCAGGCCAGCTTGCTTCTAATGTTTGCACTCTTTGCTGTATAAAATTGGCTAATATGATTAAAAGCGATACAAAGAATTAAATGTCCTCGTCCCGATGTGCGCCAAGTTCACCTATCATTAGAAAGTTTGCCTACCTAACTTGGCTTCTATTTAAGCACTGCCTTATTTTTAACATTCTCATCTTGTTTTCAAATCCCACCATGGTCTTGTTCACTTTGATTTATACACTCCACCGACACTGCTGCCCTCCAAAAAGTCCTTAATTCGGGTCTCTTGAGCATTCACGATTTGAATCACTCTGCTTGGTGGTTGTGTCCTTAGCTGCCAATACCTTCCTGATTATCTCCATCTGATCCCTTCCTTTTCCCCTTAAACATTCAATAACTTCCCATGTCATCACTGCCTTTGTCTGTCTTCCTCCTTTTTAAAGTGCTGTTGTTTTGATATTTTTTCTCAAAGTTACAAAACAATGCAACATCTTATAAAACAGTAATTACTGCTCCTGGAATTTGAGGAAATCAGCTCTAACACTGAAAATACTTCAAAAAAGGAGCAGCTCTTACAACCACAACTTTTTCCCGTCCTCAATTTTGGTTAGGAAGTCATGTTGCAGCAGTACAGGACATTAGTTAGGACATTATTGGAATACTGCGTGCAATTCTGGCCTCCCTGCAACAGGGAAGATGTTGTGAAATTTGAAGGGGTCCAGAAAATAGTTACAAGAATGTTGCCAGGGTTGGAGGATTTGAGCTAAAGGGAGCGGCTGAATAAGCTGAGGCTATTTTCCCTGGAGCATAGGAGGCTGAGGGGGTAACCTTATAGAAGTTCATAAAATCATGAGGGGCATGGATAGGGTGAATAAATGAGGTCTTTTTCCTGGGATGTGGGAGCCAAAAACTAGAGGGCATGGGTTTAAGGTGAGAAGAGAAAGATTTAAAAGGGATCTAAGGGGCAACTCTTTTCATGCAGAGGGTGGTGTGAGTATGGAATGAGCTGCCAGAGGAAGTAGTGGAGGCTGGTACAATTACAACATTTAAAAGGTATCTGGATGGGTATATGAATAGGAAGGGTTTAGAGGGATATGAGCCAAATGCTGGCAAATGGGATTGGATTTATTTAGAGCCAATAAATATGGAGCTGGAAAAGCACAGCAGGTCAGACAGCATCCAAGAGGAAGGATAGTCAACATTTCAGGCTGAAACCTTTTGTCAGGGCTGCGGGTGGGAAGGGGGGAGCCCAGAAATAAATAGAGGGAGGGGTGTGGGGCTGGGGGGACGGGAGGTGAGATGGAGATAGATGGACGCAGGTAAGGGGTTTATTATGGTTGGTCAGCGGGAATGGTGGAGCAGATAGGTGAGTAGGAAGATGGACAGTTTTGGGATAGGGAGATTTTGAACCTGATGATCCAGGTAGGGGGTTATTGTGGTTTGTCAGTGGGAAGGGTGTAGCTGATGGGTGAATTGGAAGATGGATAGGTTGGGGGAGGAGAGATTTTGAAGTTGATGAAGTCAATATTCAGGCCATTGGGCTGTAAGCCCCCAAGGCAAAATATGAGATGTTGTTCCTCCAGTTTATGTTTGGCCTCACTCTGACAGTGGAGGAGGCCAAGGATGGACATGTCACCAGGGGAGTTAGATGGAAAGTTAAAGTGGACGGATCTGCTCAGCATGGATGAGTTGGACCAAAGGATCTATTTCCATACTGTATACCTCTATGACTCTATGACACTATGACATTCCTTAAAACTGCTGCTTTGAAAAAAGAATTACTGATCTGCACTAATATCAGCCAAAGTCATACTGAATGGAGGATCAGGCTCAAAAGGCTGAATGGCCTACTCTTATTCATACGTAATACATCCTCATGAAGCTTGGTGTCAACTAATGTTCCATAGTGCTCCTGTGAAGTGTTTTGGGATACATTAGGAAGTTAAATGTGTTATGTGAACAAAAGTTAATGTCTTTGTGGTTTTATTTTCAGGAAATTATGTGTTTAAAAGCCCAAGATTCTTCATACATTCTCACATTTTAGTGTCTTGTTGTTCAGTGACTCAATTCTCAGCTTTCCTTCCAAAATATACTACCCTCCAATTAAGAACATTAAGATGGATCTTAATGTTCATCCAGACAGGAATCTATACTTTCCTGAAGTCTTTTTACCTCACATTTGTTTTTGTTGTTGTTGTCTACAAGCTTCAAAATTATGGTAACTCTTCTGAGAATTATTGAGGACCCAACACTCAACCTTAGGTACTCAACTCTCCAGTATTCTCTCATTGAAGCCACAGCTATCCATGTCTTTATTTCCTGCTTGTCAATCCAAAATTTTACCCATGCTGCTATGCTTTCTCTAATGCCATACACCTGGATTTTTTCTACTATGCTACTTCTGATACAACTTAACAACTGTCTTTGGAATATGCATGTGTATATTTATTGCATTCCCTCTATCTCGCATTAGCCCCTTGTTTTTTTTTAAAGTGTTAAGCATTAGTCTTTCGCCTTTGAAAGTAGGATTCAAATCCAGCCTACAGTGAGGTAATAGTCCTGTTTGTCCACTGGCAGTAAGACAGCTATGTGAAATATAAATAGACTAGCTCCATCCAAAACAGCCGAATCTGAGCCAACGCTTTCCCTCTCGTCCAGAAAGATAGTACAAAAAATTGAAAAAAATCTCACACCTATATCTTAAAGGGTGCTTTTCAGAGGTTCATGATGAGGCACTTTTTCCTCTTCACGGGTTCTATTTGGTAGCAGCGCCCCCTGTCGGGAAAGCGGAATATGGGGGTTGGGTCGGATACGTTTTGCGAGCCGAGTTAATCGTAGAGCGCGGTTCATTTTGCACAGGCGACTCAGTGTAGTGCAGCTCAAGCAAGTTTTAAAACTAAATATTGGTCCAATGTATTAAACGGGAAACTTATTCAATGCTAGAAAAGAAAAGTAGCGCAAACCATTCAACATAAGTGTGAAATAATGTTTCACCAGTAATAAGACAGCCACCAGTTAGTTCAAATGATTGGATACAATATGGTTCAACTGGCTCGGTATTTGGAAGCGAACGAAATGATATCCCATGGCCGCAAGTTGCACATAAATTATCCAAATACTAATTAAATCATTTGAGTTGTATTTACAGTTGGAGGCACAGTTTCAGCATGGGTAAGATTTACTGTAATAAAAACAGAAACTGCTGAAGAAACTCAGCAGGTCTGGCAGCATCTGTAGAGAGAAAAACAGAGTCCAGTGACTGCTTTCATTGTATATTTTATTTGTAAAAATACACATGACAATAAATTGCTATTCTATTTTATTCTTTAGATCCCTCAATGAATTCCGTTTTCAGGCAAACATTCGCCCTATGTGTTCTTTTCCATCACGTAAGCTTTCGCCCAGACCGGGAAACGAGTCTTTTTTTTATTGTTACACAAGGTGGAGGGGGAATTATCTTGATCTTCAGGTCACTGGGTTCGTTTCTTCCGCATTGGTGACCAAATACGTAGGATTCCCCATCCTTCTCAATCATTCTGAAAATACAGTTGAAGATCAGGTTCCAATTATTTGTAAATGATTTCGCAACAGACTGAGCGAAAGACGAGATAGAGACCCGACACTCTTGCCCAGTTGTATTTACCGGTGCCAATACTTTACAAAAAAAAACGAACTGAAAGCTACCAGTCACAATCATTACATTCCGCCACAAGTTTACTGGTCACCCAGCCCCGCTCGCTTGCCACTGCTCCTCATGCTAACACTTGTGTTTTCTACAGACGCTGGAATCAACAGGGACATGATGTGATTCCACGTCTTGAATATCTGGTTAATATCCAAATTTCTAACAGTCTCCCTTCTCTAGAATAACCTATAAATGCTGATAGCGATAACACTAGCAATGGGTCAGAATCCATAGGAGGGAACGTTAACATTTTGGATCGAAACGGTCTCATCTGAGTCTTTTTTTGTTTTAGTTTCTTTTGCGTGTATAAACTACTTTGTGTATAAACCCCAGACGATGCTGCTCCTCCGGTGCAGATAGCTGTTTCAATGTCACACGAACAAAGCTGCGATTTTTCTTTATGTAAATAAAAGCGGAGTACTGCGATATTGAAACAAAAAACAAAGTGCTGGGGAAACTCAGATCTGACAACATCAGTGGGGCGAGAGAGACAGAGAATTAAAGCTATGAAGAAGAGTCATATTGGACTCGAAGTGTTGACTCTCCATAGATGCTGCCAAACCCGCGGCGTCTCTGCAAGCGCTTTGCATTTTTACGTGTTACCTTCAACCCCATTAGTTTTCCTTGTGGTTCATCTTTAAAACACTGCCTGAAAGAGCAACCAGAGAAATCGCCCTATTTTTACCATTCTGCTTTCCCTGGGAAAGAAGACGGCGCATCTCAGATGCGACTCTATGTTTGTGTCCGATTTCTCCTATTTAATGATAAAACGATCGCTGTGTTTTAAATTGTAAACCATTTATTTTTTTCATTTTATTCATGATTCTAGAAGCTCTGCTCACAGCGATTTTTTTTATACCTTGACGTATCCCGAACGACATTGATAGCGGGTGCGAAATAGCCTGGTTGAAATTTCCTGCTGGATTTGCATATCCGGCTGTGTGTATTTGGCACTGAAAGGAGGGCGTGGAGAGTTTATATAAAGGATACGTGCAAGACACTCACTGGCAAAAGCGGGGATCGCAGTGTAACCAATACTGTAACACATCACACCGATAAAACAGGAGTCCTGCTAAAATATTGAAGAGCTCAGCTCAGGCTGCAAGCTTTTTAAAACTTGTTACACTTCCTCACCCTTGAGATGTCGCGACTGCAAGAAACCACCGAGACTCTGCATTATTCCGTCGGCATCCTATCTACATGTGCAGGTAAACGCTGGAAATGAATTACCTTAGTTAATTTGTAGAAATACTTTTTTTCAGACTTACTGCATTTTTTTATTTTTTTACTTCCCTTTTTTCTGTCAGGTGCGCTGTTGTTGACTGTGGATCGTTACAGCACAGTGCCCTTGATTCCTAGCACGGCTCTCGGAATTTTGTTACTTATAGTGGCGGCTCTTGTCGGTTATACAGGTATGTAACGGTGTATCAGAAAGAGTGAGAAATATCATAGAAATAAGATTTGTTATAGTTCGTGACATGGCACGCTAGTTGGCCCATACATTTCCAGTGTTCTAGCCCCCACCCGTGAATCAGCGTTTGCGGCGCTATAATTACAACTTTGTTACAATCCCAACCTTATTCACCTGATGCTAGCGCTACTGGTTAACCCCTCGTGTATCCACGTCCTTACTTGCCCTTGAGAAGGTGGTGCCTTCTTGAACCACTGCAGTCCTTGCGGATAGGTACACCCACAGTGCTGGAGGAAGGGAGCTCCTGCATTTTGACCTAGTGACAGTGAAGGAACAGCAATACAGCTCCAAATAAGGTCGGTGTGTAACTAGGAAGGGAGCTTGCAGTTGGCGATGCTCCCATCTACCAGCTGCCTTTGGTCTTCTAGGTGGTAGAGGTTGCAGTTTCTAGATGGTACACACTACCACCAATGTACCAGTGATACATTACATCCATGACTGAAGATAAGAAAGGATAATACCAGATCTATTGATGATTAATGGACTAGACTTAGTTAACAATCTGACTAGATTTGAAATGCTGGAGGTCATAAGAACATAAAAGTTGCAAAAGCAGGCCACTTGGCCCTTCAAACCCGCTACTGCATTCAAACAATTATGGCTGATCTTCTTATCCAGCTGCTATCTTGCTGCACCATCTCCAAAGCCCTGAATTTTCTAGACCATAAAAATCTATTGATCTGTGCCTTGAGTCCACTCAGCTACTGAGCACTTACAGCTTTCTGGGCTAGAGAATTCCAAAGATTCACAAGTTTTTCAGTGAAGATATTTTGCCTCATTGCAGCATTAAATAGTTGACACCTCCTTCTCAGATTGTGAACCCATGTGCTGGGTTGTTCAACCAAGGGAAATATTTTCTCAGTATCTGCCATCTCAAGCTTCTTAAATATGTTATATTTCAAGCAATTTACCTCTCAGTCTTCTAAATCCCAGATAATATAGATGTAGTCTGCTCAGTCTCCGTTCAATACACATGTTCATCCCAAGAACCAGTCTAGTGAACTTCATTGCCCTCTTTCTAGAAGACCATACAAGCTTACGAATATGTACAAGTCAGAGACAGGTGAAGGCTATTTGGCCCCTTTAGCCTCCTTAGCCATTCATTACGATCATGGCTGATCTGAGTTTGGCTCAATCCAATTTTCCTGGTCACACTTTACATCTCTTGTTCATCAACCATCTGCCTCTGCCTTCAAAATATTCAATGACCCTGCTTTCACTGACCTTTGGGTTAAAGAATTCCACAGACAAATTCCCCTTTTAAGAGAAAAAAAATCCCATCTCCATCTTAAGTGGGAGAATACTTTACTTTTAAGTCTGTACTTACAGAGTCCCAGACTCTTCTATAAGGGAAATATCACTTCTGCATTTATCATGGTATGTTTTCCTCAGACAAGGAGACCACAACTACACACAGTATTCCATTCTGGCCTGGTACCAATTAAAATAAGACAAACCTTAGAAGGCTAAGGTTTCTTATTAAAATACACTATTCAACTCAAAGAAGAAGCTTATACAAATACAAGGAAGAGTTCATATCGTTCAGTCTGAGAGAGTAAGAAAAAAGCAACAGTGATGCAAAAAAAACATGATGCAAGATGGGAATATGAAAAATCTTTCAAAGGAACTGAAAGGTAATAATAGAAATATATTAAGAAATAGTGATGAAGTGGATTGTGGACCCACTAAAGGGCTTGTGTACATACTGGTGAGGGCAGAGTGGTCTACATGGACTTTATTAAAGCCTTTGACAAGGTTCCACATGGTAGATGGATTAGTAAAGTGGGATTCAGGGAGAGCTGTCAATTGGATACAAAATTGGCTTGACAGTAGGAGACAGAGGGTGGTGGGGAATGGATATTTTTGAGGTGGAAACCTGTGACCAGTGGAGTTCCATTTGGATCAGTGCTGGGTCCACTGTTGTTTATCATTTATATAAGTGATTTGGATGAGAATGTAGGAGGCATGGTTAGTAAGTTTGCAGTTGACACCAAAATTGGTGGTATAGTCGACAGTGAAGAAGATTATCTAAGATTACAAAGGGATCTTGATCAATTGGGCCAATGGACTGAGCATTTTGGTGAAATAAACAGGGGCAGAACTTATACAGTTGATGGTAGGGTCCTAGGTGGTGGTGTCGAACAGAGAGACCTAGGGGTTCAGGTACATAGCTCGTTGAAAGTTGCATCACAGTAGACAGGGTGATTAACAAGGTATTTAATCACACTTGCCTTCATTGCTCAGACTATTGAATGCAGGAGTTGAGACGTCATGTTGAGATTGTACAGGATGTTGGTGAGGCCATTTTTGGAATACCTGTGTGCAGTTCTGGTTACCCTGCTACAGGAAGGATAACATTAAATTGGAGACAGTTCAGAAAAGATTTACCAGGATATTAATGGGAATGGAGGGTTTGAGTTATAAGGAGAGGCTGGATAGACTAGTATCTTTTTTCCCTTGTGCTTAGGAGGCTGAGGGGTGACCTTATAGAGGTTTATAAAATCATGAGAGGCATAGTTAAGGTGAATAGCAAAAATCTTTTCCCTAGAATGGGAGATTTCAAAACTAGGGGACATATTTTTAAGGTGAGAAAGATTTAAAAGGGACCTGAGGGGCAACTTTTTCACAAAGAGTATGGTTCATATGAGGAATGAACTGCCAGAGGAAGTGCTAGATGCGGGTACAGTTACAACATTTCAAGGACATTTGGACAGATACATGAATGGGAAAGTTTTAGAAGGATATGGGCCAAATGCAAGTACATAGAACATAGAACAGTACAGCACAGTACAGGCCTTTCGGTCCACGATGTTGTGCCAAACTTTTACCCGAACCATAAGGTCTATCTAACCTCCACCACTACCTTATACTATCATCCATATGCCTATCTAATAGCTGCTTAAATGCCCCTAATGAGGCCGACTCCACTACCCTCTCCTGCAATGCATTCCACGCCCCTACCACTCTCTGAGTAAAGAACCTACCTCTGACATCTCCCCAATATCTACCTCCTTTCACTTTAAAACTATGTCCCCTCGTAAAAGCTACCTCCACCCGAGGAAAAAGTCTCTGGCTGTCTACTCTATCTATACCTCTGTAAATATGGACTAGTTTAGGAGAAACATGTTCAGCATGGATGAGTGGACCAAAGGGTGATGTATCCGTCATTTTGGGTTATGTCGAGTTTGTGAATTCTTAAGTAAAGGAAAAATCATTTTCCCAGGGACATGTCTGCATAAGAGTAATTCCTATCTGAAATCAGAAACCATCAAAAATGATGTAGTTGTT